TAATGTGTACTTCCTACAAAAATGGCCACATTCCTTATATATATATATATATATATATATATATATATATGTCGCCTATGTCTTGTACAGTGTTCTGTATTACCATCGACTATTTCACACGAGAAGCAAGTAGGCTTACCTCCGTCCTTCCTATCTCATCTTTTAGAATATTTCTGTATATTCTCACAGATACAGTGTATTTATATAAGCCACTTTAGTTGACACCCCAGAAACCACTAGATGGCCGATGGTTTTCTGATGGGCTGCTTTGCATGTCTACTTGCTTCGCATGCTGACTTCGAGTACCGCACTAATATGCTGTCGGGTGCTGTGCCTATATATTGCGTATCAGTGACCTTTACACACTTAAGGTCTCGCGCGGTCACCAAATACTTCTGTTGTCGTCACTATGGATTTAGTTTACGAGGATCCACAGATACTCTGTTGTGTTTTAATATTTGCCACGTACTATTCTTTTTTAATCGGCAGTACAAGTAAAATATATCCGTGTGTGTATTAACTTCTATATCTCGCTGGTTGCTTCCTATTGGGTGCTTCGATTGTAATATACCTTCTGATGACGGTTATTTAATGCTTTCGCATTGAAACATCAAAAGTTCTTATACGGAATGGTTTTCAGGGAGCAGACCGACACTTTGCACGCATAAGTTCACTTCTATGCGCGTATATATTCTTGTACTCCTAACTACCCAATATTTGCTAACGAATGATTATTCTCAAACTGTATATGTGCAGCAACGCAAATAAGACGAACAGAACACCCAAAATCAGCACTAGGAAAATGAGTTATAATAAATACAACATCCAGGACACCCGCGCAGTATCCAAACATCCAGCTGTCATCGATCTGATAGAGGTATCTACACGACTCGCATATGCAATTACCACAACTTACTCTTATGCATGATTATACGAATGAATATATGTATAATTCTACATATAATTCCGTGGATGAATATATGTATGAGTATATGTATGATCATATGTATGATAATTTGTATGATTGTGTGTATAGTTATATTTATGCCATATATGAATATACACAGTGCACACCGTATCTCTAGTAATTTATAAAGTGACCATAGTGTTCGTCCCTACTTATAAAAACTTTCATAGTACTTGTAACCGGCTTCAAATGAGTCGGCTGCGGTGTCAACAGAGTGGTCTTAGGGATAAGTACAGCACTTTACGGTTGCGGATAAGGATAAAACATACTCTCGACATACTGCCATTAGCCCAATTTCAAGGTGTCAGCACACATTGTTACCTACTATGTGATCGATCCTGTTCTCTCACTGCTATACGCACAGGCAATGGCCAGTGTATGAGATGGAAATGAATACCATTTTATTCTGTTTGTGTGAATACTTATGGGTGTATGACCATTCATTAATATCTTATACATATATGCTCAAAGAGACTACGGTCATGAACAAAACACAAGTATACGTATACATATGTATAGCATTTCTATTCACACACAAATACACATACATACATACATACATACATATATATATATATATATATATATATCTATCTATCTATATTATTGTTTTATTATTTTATTATTTTATTATTTTATTATATTATTTTATTTTTATTAACCATTCTCATCTGTCTCCCTTATCCGCTCGTAGGTGGGCAATGCGCAAGCTTTCAACGCTTTAATAGACATAACGTACATGGAGAACACTATCATCTGTCGATCTCGTGCCGAAGCTCAGGCTGTAAGTTTGATTTTGTGTACTAGATGGTATAACTGTTGCTGATTGTTCGTGATCGGTGTGTTGTGTGTATCTGTGTTTGTATGGGGCGTTTTGAGCTCACTTTTGTGCTTATTTTTAACGCATTTACTGATTCTTGCATTTCAAATCATGACGCAGTGTTGGTGAGAATGTAGCTATTCAATTTGTGCGTAATTTGTTCGCACCGTGGGTGTGCATATGTGCCATTCGATTGAATGTATTTCCAGATTAAAATACCGGGAGATAATACTATTTATAGAGCACTGCCATGTGTTCGTTAGACACAAGGGCGCTTTCATGTTTGCTAACACTCAACCCTGTTTTCGACAGGCGTCCCGTAATCCTAGCAATCGCAATATAGGGCGCATTCTTGATATGAAAGGTGACGAAATATCCGACGAGTATGTGAGCTTCTATATCATACTTCAACACACATATATTCATATGTATCTATATATATATACATATATATATATATATATGTGTGTGTGTGTGTATATATATATATATATACATATATATATATGTATATATATATATATATGTATGTATGTATGTATGTATGTATATATAT